CCAAGGAGAGAAAAAAAACAAAACTCAAGACACCTGTGCAGAGCCATAAAGACAAACACAGCCATGAGTGTATGTTTCCTACGGGAGATGATAAACAGGCCCTGATGTACTGTAAGAATGAATTCCTATTCATTATTTTGGGGGCTTTTGTGACTACCAGTCCCCCGTTCCCACTATGGTCTTAAAATTTTCAGTGCAACATGAATTTTGGAAACGCATAATGAAGATGTTAGTAGAAACTTAAAGTGCACCCTCTCTGAATACTCAGGTTTGAGACTACTGAATGTGTAATGTCCGATTCTTTCCTCTCCAGAAAAGCCTTTATGATCTGCTCTGGATTTATTATTTTTTTTTAATGCACTGGAGAGATCACTGCTTATGTCATATTTTAAGAAGGAAGCACAATGCTTCCTTTCCTTTAGGCTAGTCAAGCTATTCTCTCATATCATTAACAATTTCACCTATTAATTGCAGGTGAATTTCTGTGATTACATTATAACACACGTAGAAAAATTCTGGGAGTCTACCACTAAACACACATTCTGGAAATGCTATTTTTAACTACAGAGCACCTTCAGTTTTTTTCTGGCATGGCTGTACAGACTATAACTGATCAGTAAGGTTATGTCTTTCATGTATATAGAAGCATTGTGAATCCAGATTTTAAGACCTGTGACAAGTATCTTAATTTCCTTTCTTTTCTTCTATTCTTCACCCCTAACACATACTTCTTCTGTATTTTTCAAAAGCCCATCTGGGGGAAAACTTAATTAAGTGAACCGAAATTCATTTAAGCATTTAAAACAAATCAAAAATCCAATTCATGCTTGATTAGGCAACTGCTTTTTGTCTAAATGCCAACAGGAAAGAACTATACGAGGTTCTTATAATCACATACTGCAGGTTTTGTGCCATTATTTCTCTATTTCTTATCCCTAAATAATTGCTTCATTTCAATATAGAAACGGTTATTTTTTAATATTGGGTGATGTTTAATAGGTTCTATTGGCATCAAACATTATAGAAACACAAAGTATCTTCAATATTTTCATATAAATATGAACACTTACATATGTAATTACATACATACTAGCTCAAAGCTCTGGAAAGCCTGTCTTTCTCCATGTTTGCACACACATATCCCCTGCATGACTTTGTCATATTACTCTATGTTTGTAGCAATCAGAAGTCATCTTATTTTGAAAAAAGCATTCATCTCATCTAAAGGTACGGAGATGATTTACAAGTATTTTTACATGAATCCTGGAAGCTGGTATTTATTTACATTTTTATAGATAAGGGCAGGGTTAGGGGGGAAAGGGTGCAAAATAAGTAAGGTTACAACCTGAGTCAGTGGCAGTAGCAAAAATAACATGAAGTATTTTTAGACCTGTACGGCTACACTGAAAACATTATTGAAGTTGAGGGAGAGGCTCCCCTCTCTCAACAAGACTCTCAGCAGTTGTTGGATCTGCCACCATAAATGTGCCATCTCTTTTGTTTAAACTAGAGAAATTACATGCAAAAATAAGCTTAACAGCTAGAGGAATCAGAAGCAATGAGTAATGGGTAATCTTTAAGGCTTTTCTGTCTAGGATATGAGGAGCTAGAGAAAAAAATAATTCAGAATAATCTCTGCTGTTATCAGGTTCTTTGAGTAAAAAGAAAACACTCACTAAATAATACAAAATTTCATCACTTCAGATACTAACTGCATACCTGGACTCAGTCAACCAGACGACTCCAGGCAGTACTGCAACCAGCACAATTAATGAAGCTCATTTTTTTTAAAAAATGCATGACTTTTGTACCTTTAACTGGGTTTTGTTTCCTCTCTTGAGCTCCCAATTGTCATGATGTATATAGGAGCTTTGTGGCTTCAAGGTCACACTACCTGTTACAAATCTAAATCACACTGAATAAAAAAAAAAACCTGACAAAAGCAAGTGCCCAGACAACATGGTTTCATACGTCTTGTTTCCATAGAAAACCGGGCTATGACATTAATTACTACAGCCAGAATGAATAAGCCTTATACTCTAATCTTATTACACTATAATATTCAACACAGAAACCCTAGACACAAAAGTTCCTAAGTCAAAAAGCCCTGGGAGCAACTCCAAGATTTGCATGCACAGATTGAGCTTCTCAGCAGGGAAAATACAATGGTTGGGGAGCACCAAGAGCCAGTTGCTCCTCCAGAGCAGAGGAGTTGGTAGGGTCAGCAGGACAGTAGCCTCACCACCAAGATACACAGTCTCACAGCACCTGTACAAGAAGAGCAGGTTTGGTGACGGCAACCAGGGTCAACCACAGCTGAGGCAGGTTTAAGGTCAAGTCTGTAGGACTAGGGAAGCAGTGAGGGCCTGAGCTCCAGGCAAACAGGAGAAGCTTTGATGCAGGCTTTTCCCAGTTCTGTCTCACCACCCAAACACCTGCACATGGTCAGAGCTAGCCTCCAGCACAGGCAGCCCAAACTGCTGGAGAGGGGCTGGGAGACACTCAAACAATCCAAGCCCGATATTAATTAGCTGTTGGAAATTATAAATCAGAATCAGATGCTTTAGTTCAGCTAACAATAAGCCAAAGCACCCTCACACTAACAAACACCCTCACTTTGAATTCTTATAGTTAGTGAGTACTGAGAGAAATAAACACTATGGTGTCTGGAGGTGGCTGCTCCCAGTTGATGTTCCGAGGCATTCTATACCTGCCTGCATTTCCTTTACTGGAGTTTCTTAATTTAAAGACCTTTAAATCACTTTCATGGATATTGCGTCTCAGCTCTACGCAGCACAAAATGATTACAAAACACAAAAAAAAAAAAGATGACTGCTTCCTTTTCAGCAGCTAGCAGGCTGCTGTGTTTATGGAGGAAAGCATTCATAATGTAAAGCACTGTAGAAAGAATTTGCTTGTATCATGCCCTCTGTTGTATGCTTTTCTAGCACCGTTGAGTTATGAATTCAACAACCAGTTTTAAGTATCAAATATTTAACAATCAACCCGAATGTAAGTCTATGGCGCCCTCTTGTGTTCAGCAATAGCATTACAGTTTGACTTGGAATCTCGACTAAGTATGCCGTTCCTCAAGAAAAACCTGCTGAAAACAAATTAATCCATTAATTTATGATTAATGCTTTTTGTATTAATCTAATACTCTGAGCTACCTCTATTTTATTGTGAAGATCACAGATAAAACATTAAATAGCTAAGATATTAATTCCAGATAGAACTGAATAAAGGATTAAAGTTATACCTGATACACATTAGCTCTATTCTGTATCGAAGCAGCTTGTTGCAAGAATCTATTGGGCAGAGGCTTACGTTAAAACACAGGATGGAAACTGAAAATCAAGAAGTCGAAACACAAACATGTCAATGAACAACATTCATAGGCAAAGGAAAAGCATGACTATATTGTTAAAGGGACAGGCTAAGATTATCCTAATTAGATTCCCAGCTAACAAACATCCTGTGACTTAGGGTGCCTAAGGTTATCCTGTGTCTCAGGTTCTTATCTATGAAAGGAGATACTTCCTTGGTATGGAGAGTGACTTCATTACTATTTAGAGTATGCTTGGAGATGTCAAGCATGCCATGGTAGAGGATACAGGTAGTCAGAAGTCAAAATGCTGATTCATTGTTTACAGCTGTATTAATTTCTTGAACTCAGTCTCTTCTGTTCTAAGCCATAATATCACTTCTGTAAAAAGCAATCATGGTCACCAGCAAATCCCTGAACGAGCCTAATAGAACAAAAGTGAGCACAGGGAAAAGAAAAGAAGATGAGGAAAAACAGGTCAAAAGCTGATGACTTCCTTGAGCTAATGATACTAACTTTTAACTAAGGGAGAAAAACAGCTGTTTAGTATGATTGATACCCTAGACTGCTTTACATTCCACTCTTACATACAAAAATCTTTTTATCAGAGTATTCAATGAGATGCACAGATATAACTCCAAATAGCTCTTCTCTGATTAACCCTCAAATCCATCTCTGTACATGTAGCTTAGCCATTCTGTTGTTCACCACTGTCCAAAAGCAGCATCTGACTGTGGTCCTCTCAAATTTCAAATGTAAAGAGATTTGGATGATCTAAAATTGTTCTGATAAAATGCAGTAGCATTACAAAACTGTTCAAGATGAATTGTCACCAAAAAAGGCCCTTCCACTCTCCATCAGAAAAGACTCAGGAATTGGTACTAATGGGAACATCAAATCCAACAAGACAACCAGAGACAAAACAAAAGCAGCTTTATTCTGTACCAAACCCTTGAATGAAAGTGATTCTTTCAAAGGTGTTGTGCTGTTTTGGCTGGGATAGAGTTTTTTTTTTTTTTCATAGTAGTTCATTTGGGGCTGTTTTGAATTTGTGATGAAAACAGTGTTGATAACACACCAATGTTTTTTGTTTGCACAATGCCAAGACCTTTTCTGCTTCACATCACCCTGCCAGCAAGAAGGCTTGGTGTGCGCAAGGAGTTAGAAGGGGTCACAGCTGGGACAGCTGACCCCAACTGACCAAAAGGATATTCCAAACCATATGAAGTCATGTTCAGCACATAAAGCTGGCAGAAGGAGGAGAAAGTGGGGACATGTGGAGTTACAGCATTTTTCTTCCCAAGTAACCATTAACATGTGATAAAGCTCTGCTTTTGTGGAGATGTCTGAACACCCACCTGCCAGTAAGAGTTGTTTAGAAATACAGAAGCCCTAGCCAGAAGAAATAATCAAGGCTTCCTCTTACTCATTTTCATAAATTCTGCTGTTATGTTCCATTTCACAGTATTAGATGCAAAAAAGAAAGTGGAACAGGAAGGTGCTTATTTCATTCAAGGAGGGAAAGCCAGGTGTAATAGGGGTGTTTCACCATTTATTCTAGCAAGCATGAAAGACTCTACAGCAACAAGAACTCTGAGGAGAGGGTGCTTGTGTGAAAGTGAGCACGAGGGAATAAAATATTCTTGCATGTGCAATAAACAACACTGAACACCACTTGTCAAAAAATATCTTAATTTTAATTTTAACAAAAGCCCAGCATCATCAGTCTCACACATCATAAGTTATGGAGTGACATGTAATGCATTGAGGTGTCCCCATGGAAAGGATCAAGTCCATACCAGAGGATCATTTGAGTTTCCACCATTGTTATGCCTTATATAAAAATATTTTACAATTTTATACCTAAAGTCAGTCTTATCTGTTCAACATAAATTGCTTCCATAGTGTAAGTTTTTTTGATCCTAAATTAATTTTCAAGTAGTAGAACACAATGTGTTTGATAGAGTAACAAGTACCTTTTTTCCCCATTGCGGAGAACAAAAACTTAGTAAGTTACATCAAAAATACTGTCACAAATCATTCCAGTATTTGAGAAAACTAGTGATATAATAACGACATGAAGATGTAGAGATCACATGCTATGACCAATTCCACCGTTCTATACATGTATCTGCCTCTAAGGAGTCTAAATTCACACGTTCTTTTCTCTGTCAACTAAGTGATATTTGCTCATTGTAAAAACAACTTAATTGTTCACAATCTGTTTTGGATATTTGTGAGTTTCGCATATGGGAGATGAGAAAGGATGCAAAAATGTGTTGATTTATCTTTTGTTGTTGTGTGTGGCTTATTTTAACATAGAATTAATTATGCACACTTTTCATTAATTTTCATTCTCTACAAGTCATGAATCATCTGTGTCATACTCTATTGCTTCTTTTTCACTTCTGGATTACTAACCCAAAACTGCTGCTTAAGTCTTCCAAAACCAAAAATCTGCTTGGTTCTACTGATGAAGGTAATAATAGCTATTACATTGCCATTTGATCAGACTAGCAAAGCTGAAAATTTCAGATTTCTAATCAATACACATTTACTCTTTACAATATTCTCATTGAATTTACAAGGAACTAATTTCCTTATACAAACTTATACTACTCTTCTTATACAAGTCAGATAACTTTAGTTATTACAACCCTGCTTCGTTTAAAGAGTCAGGGCATATAACCACTGCCAGCTGAAGAGTTATCAAGAACTTATCCTGAGGTATACGTACAGTTTGCATAAACACAATCATATTCTATAGCAAATTCAATATAGGTAGTAAAATGGAAAAATGTCTGAAATGTCTGAGTGTATTATCATGCAAACAAAATTCTTAACAGAATTTGGGAACTCAGCATATTATTTGCCATTGTAATACAAACAATGCTTTCCATTACACAGTCAACTGAGTCATCCTGTAGTACTTTGCCACAAAAATACAAACTAAACTGGTATTAAAAATAAAATAAAATTGGAGAGTGTTCACAAACATATGTTATTTAACTAAGGCATTGAAAGGTTTAGAACTGGACTAACCCTTAAGTTACCAGTAAACACAGCATTTCTGAATGCAGACTGTCAACAGACAGATATCTTTCCAGAATCATGTGCAATGAATAAAATTTAGTTATGGCTTATGCACAAAGTATGTGAGTATGACATGATTCAAACTGTGCTGGTTAATGAGAATTTACATTTGCTTCAGAAGCTCATTAGTAGTGCAATGTGTTTGACTATTTTCTTCATTAATTCAGCTCTACAATACGCAGAAAAAAATAAATCTTTCTGAAACAGCCAAAGTAATTCAGCATCACCAAGGATCTTCTTCCACCTGCAAGAAGTAAGAGTGAGTGGAATCAAATGCGTAAGCGGTGACTGCAATAAAACGTATCTGAAAGTCTTGAAAACTTAGTTTTATGTAGCCAATAGAACACAATTTCTCTGTTTCAATATCATAATGATAGATTCAAAAGCAAATTTTGCAATATTGCTGCAATCCCATTAATACGGCTTCATAAATGCTGAACAGCCTCACCACTTTTAACTATTAGACCAAAACATCATCTGTCTTGCAATTAATTCAGAGGACAGTGACTGTGCTCACTCTACAGTGTGCACAGTACACACTTCCTCCCAAGAAACTGTATTTAAGCTGAGGTACAAGTGCAGTTCACCATAAACTGTTCGATAGATACTATACTTGATATTATTATGTAGGTGGATTCCCTACTCAAACATACCTTATTTCAGACACTGCATCCAATATACTACTTAGCAAAAAGACATAAATATGTATAAAAAAACCAGACACAGGTTATATGTACTGTTATAATACATACAGGTTCCAAACATACTGAGAGTTAAGCAGCAAAACTTAAGTACTTACTAAGGCTTGACACTGTAATATTCTTCTGGCGTCACAATTTTCAATCCACCAAAGTAGTCCAGGACCCAAATATTGGTGATGTTGAACTTGGCAAAGAACCAATTATGATCCTTAGGCCAACTTTCCATTTCAGGGTGGCGGCTGAATAATGCTTTTTTTGCTAAGCCCGCCTCTGAATCATTCACCTAAACAATAACCAGCAAAATATTACAGTAAGGTACAGCCATGTGAAGACAAGCTTTTGAAGAGAGCACACTGCAGTAAGCGTTGTTTTTTTAGCTGTTTAGCCATGTCTTGTCCTAAAGGATTCATTACTGTAGCAGAGTCCACTCACTTTCAGTGTGGTGTACAACGATACATGAGACAGACAAAAAATCCAAGATTTAACTAAATCAAAAGGGTGCTTTTAAAGTAAGCATGAGCAAGAAAGTACTTCAACATAAGAACAAATATTTCAACAAGTCACAAAACAGATAAGTATGGATTCTTGCTGAATTATTACAATGGTTTAGGTGTAAATTTACCTCCTCTGCATCTGCTCATTCAGACACAAACAGATCCAAAGGTACTCAGATGCAGGCAAAAACACATATACACACACACAAATAGGATGCTACAACAGAATCTACAAAAGAAGGGAAGCTGAAATGTGTAACAGCCTTTAATATACAATGTGCAAATACTTAAAGGGCTAAATAAACAGGTTTGATCTCTGGGTATAGTACAATAGGAACTAATTAAAACAAACAATTCCATTATTGATGAGAAAGTCATGACAGCAATTAAAGGATTGCTGGAGTGTAATAACCAAATATCTGAGGTGTGAAACCACCAAGTAAGAATTTAGACCATCATACAAGACAGCAATGATGATTAAGTCCTCCTCCTCAATCATTATCCTCAATAATGGGATTAAGATCTTCAATGAATAATACGTGTATCTCTAAATTCCTTCTATGGGACACCAAAGTACTGGTGCACGAAAGAATACTGCCCTGGCAGCAATGATGCCAGGTAATACAATGCACTCTTTCTGTCTCTAACACCTGTAACTTTATAGCTGGGGTTAATATTTACTGTGGTAAAGTTTTGAAGTGCATGTGTCAACACTGCACAGAACAAAGAATTTAACTGAGCAAAAGAGATGGAAAAACTCTCACACTTCATTTGCAAGAGAACTGCCTTAGACTTCTTAGTTTCAAGATAGGTCTAGAGGAATGAGGGATATTTCCTTCATTACAATATTGGCCTCCGAAGTTCTTTGCTACAGACATAGCTCCTGCAAATATCAAGTAGTAACTTCACTTTCCTCACACAAGCTATGAGCTAGCCTTCTAGTATCACAGTACATAATATTTTTTCATATCCTTTCACACTCAAATGCTAACCTTTCTCTTTGCCATCCACTAGACAATACTTGCCCAGTGTCAACTTTCAGCTGCTTACCTTTACAATACTCCCACAGAAGATTATGTGGGCACAGAGAGGATTCTGGGGATCATATTTGTGCTTCTTGCAGTAAGGAGTCTGTGCCAAAGACACAGTTAAGGAGGCATTTGAGTTGATCTGAAATGCAAGTAATAAAATAAGAGGTTTATATATTTTTGCAAGAAAAATGTCATACTCACCTTATTTCCAGCTTTTGGCACTTTATTCAGCTCAGTGTTACTGATAAAAAGAATAAAGTTGTCATCTTCCTAACTATATTTGAAATCCTACTTAGATGAGCTCCAAATCTGAAAGAAAGCCCAGTTTAGAAGTGTGCTTAAGTTTGTTAGTGTAAAATGCAAACCTTATAAAACAGCACTCCTTAAAGCTCTGAATTCAATGCACAGTCTAGCCATTTCACATTCAAATGATGTTATACTCCAATTTACATACATACAGGGCAGCACAGAAAACAAGTACAGTGAACTTCATTACATTCATTCTGGTGGAAAGAAAAAGGGTTACCGAAAAGGTAACCAACTGAGTTTCAAAACTGTTGACAAAACTAATTAAAACAGAGAACCAAACAACGCCCCCCCAACAAAATAAGCCTCCTGGGTGCCCCCAAACTGGTCAGCTCTTCTGAAGTTTAAAGTGAGTTTTACAAGTTAAGTTTTAAGAAATCCTGGATATTTAAGACACCTAACCTGAAGAATTAAAGAATCTGTATCTGATTGTTTTCTAAATCTAATTTGGTGAACACAGCTTGAAAAGTATTGGTGCCAAAGAGGGTTGCCTACTGCACAATGTCACATATCAAAGTTCATTATCTCCCAGCAACAAAAGTTCATGTGCTTTAGGTAATTTCACTAAAGGAGCTCATCTCAAGCCAAAACCCCCAAAAGTCACTTAAGCCCTATGCAGAGTACTGCTGAACTGATAAAACACAAGCAACCACCTGACAGATAGGAAGTTGCTTAACTACAGAAAAGCTGACTCATGATTATTCAGCACTATCTCCTATCAGATGTCTCCCGTGCACGTGACAATCACAGTCAAATGTTTCTGCCCTGTAAACAGCAAAATAAGGATCTGTTGTGGAGCCTTCTGAAGGAAAACGTTCATTAGCAGCTTATACCATGAGTTTCACGTTATTCTGAAAACAAAAGGCTGTAGCCTGGATAAAGAAGTAGATACTAAGCAAGATAAATTAGGCTTTCTACAGTACTTACATATGCAATTAAACTATTTTAATGCTACAAACTAAAACAGGCAACAAACACAAAAGGTTTACAGTAAAACAAAGTCTGAAAAAATGCCATTATTTAAGTTTTGTATTTATTTGGTTTACTAATACTGTAATAGTTACTAATGTTCCAAAGACGTTTTCTAATAAAGGAGACATATGGTCACTATTTCCCTAACTTTTTTACCCAACTCTCTCTTGACCACAGCCTAGCAAAAGATCTGAGAGAAGGCCAACACTCAGAGCCTTAGTGTGCCAGTCTGCTGCCTTTCGTTTTGTACTTGCCTTTATGGTAAGCTCCAGAGATTTAATTACTATTCCTTCAGTAGCCTATGTAGGAGCCTTCTTTGCTCACCTCTCACACTACCAACTTCCAGTCTTTTTGATATTTTTTGTGACATTCTTCCTGTTTAAATATAGTTGTGGATGCCCCATCCCTGTAGGTGTTCAAGGCCAGGCTGGATGGGGCTTTGAGCAACCTGGTCTGGTGGGAGGTGTCCCTGCCCATGGCAGGGGGGTTGGAACTGGATGGCCTTTAAGGTCCCTTCCAACTCAAACCATTCTATGATTTTGTGGCCCCTCATTTCTCGTTTCATGGTCAGGGCTTCTGGAAGTTTCAGCCACTTCCTCTACAAGAGTGCTACTGAGCAATTTGTCAGAAGATTATCGTCAGGAACTTATTAGGAGGACTACTAGGTGTCAACACAGACAGCACTGCTCATGTTCAGGTGTTCAGAAGCCAATAATTGTCCCCGGGATTCACAAACGAGGTGACATCCCCAGGACAGGCAGTTAGAGCCGTGACATTGCCTTCAGAAACGCTGCTCCCGCTCACCTCTAGATCCTGCACGGAGATCTCCATGTCGGTCAGGTAAAGGTAGGGGACACCGCTGCCGCCCAAGGGCCCGGGGGGCCCATCGCTGAGGGAGAAGATGTTGGCGAAGGGCTGGCCGCGCAGGCCCTCCTGCGCCGACAGCGTGGCCAGCGCGCCCCAGTCGCAGTTGTGCAGCACGAAGCGCGCCATGCGGGCCGCCTCCTCCGGCGGCGGGATGGCCCCGCCGGCCACCAGCAGCAGCAGGGCCGCCGCGCAGAGGAACGCCAGCCCCGCCATCCCTCACCGGCCGCCCACCGCTACCAACTGCCGGCGCCTCAACACACCCGCCCCGACGGCACCCACCCCACGCGGGGGGGGGCGGGCCCGCTCCGCTCTCCACCAATCGGAGCAACGCCGCCCGCCCTCTCTTCACCAATGAGAGCACGTCGGGGACAACCTTGCGAGTGGGAAGTTAGCCTCTCCACTGTCAGCCAATGGGCTCGCGATGTCCGCTCCCTTTAGCCAATGAGAGCTGCTGGGAGGTGGGGACAATTCCCACACCGTTCGTCGCATGTAAACAACTCTGACAGCGCTGCCGCGCCGTCAGGAGGGGAGGGAAAGGGGGCGGAGATACGAGTAACACAGCAGCCAATGAAAAGCCTCTTCAGTACTCTCTGCCAATCATGTTTCGCGGGCGGCCGGCAGGCGGGCCTCGCCCCCACCCGTCACGTGATGGGGGGGGGGGTGTAGCGGCGCGCGCAGGCCCAGTAGTGTGTGTGGGAGAGGTTGTTGGTTGGCCGTTGGGCTGAGGGGGGCGCTGACGGGAGGCGGCCGGACATGGCGGCTGCTGGCGCCGCTTGTGTAGGTGGTCTGAGGCAGCCTGCAGGCAGCTGAAGCAGAGCCAGTCCCGCGGAGCGACCCTGCCCACCGCCTGGTACTCACTCGCTAGGAGCCGGTCCGTTTTGCAAGGTCTGAGCGACCCGGGATGGGTCATGGCGGCAGCAGGGAGCCCGGCAGCCGTCCCCTGGGGTTGCACCTAGTTTGTCTGCCAGGGAGGCCAGTCAGATCTACAGGGTGGTTGTGAAGGTGTCTGCCTTGCTACCCCTGGTTGCTCCTAAATCAATCCCAAAGGCTGGTTTTGTGTCACAACAAGTGTTTGTGTCTCACTTCCCTTGAGGAAAACATTGGTGTTTAATCGGAACAAGCAAGGTTTATCTGTAAACTGGTGTGGACTGTAAAGCTCATAGGATCATTTGCTGCTAGGCACAGCTCAAGGCTTACCCCTTGCAGACTGCAGGATGTATGTGGAAACTATCTCTTCCACAAGACCTGGTTTCACTAAGTTGAACAAGCTCCTGGCATTCAGTTGCATTACTTACAGAAATAAATCCTGAGGTACACCTCATTTTATCCATCACCCTCTTATCAAGTCACCTTATGAAGATTTATGTAAAGGAATGGTTTTTTTAACTGGGGTAATACTGAGATTTTATTCAACTTTGCCTAAAAGATGGGAGGTTTCTGTTTTTTTCCACTTCAATCTTACCAAGTATGTCTACACTATGTATACAGCAATGAAGCAGGGAGAAACCCAAATTAACTGTGGGTGACCATCATCTGCTCCCAGTTACCCCATAGCACCCATAGTTTATAGCAGCCCAGATGAATCATTTCGTTGGGCTGAATTCAGGAAGGAAAACACGCCACACGTCCACTCCCTACCGTTTGTGTAATGTCCTGTTGTTGTGTACAGGTAGAACAAAATAATTTTTCCTCCAGAATTCCCCTTGCTTGCACAGGGTGGGCAGAAAGCCTGCTGTTCCCTCCGGGGCACCGACACACTTTCTGATTTCTGCTTTCTGCTCCTGCCCTCTTCTGGCCATGTTCAGGAGAAACCCGTATTTTGTTATAACTGAAAAGCAAAAAAAAAAAAATAAAATTTAAAAAGGCTTCTCTAAACCCCTGATTTGCAGCCACTCAGCTGGGGTAGGTAGATGAGCTTGTGAGTAGCAAATTCTCCAGCAGCAAAGGCAATACAGGGAGCCTTGTTTGTGGTGCAGGACAAGCGATATTTCAGGGCAAAGTGCTAAGGAGAAAAACAGCAAGAAAAGGAGTGAGGTGTGAGAAAAAGGACTGTGTGAAAGGTTGTCTAAATGTATGTAGGATTTTACAATATATTTACATGAAGGGCAGGAAGGGAACGTGCTGAAGGGAAAAAAAGACAACAGCCGTTCTGCAGGAGTGAAAAGAGTGTGGAAGAAAGGGACGACAATGATTTAGAGGAAACGGCTTAGGAAAGAAGGGAATGAGGAAGACAAACTGCAACCAACTCTTTTCTTTAGAGATTTTGCTAGCTAAAACAGAGAGAGACGTTATAGCTTCCTCTTTTCTCTCCTCACCATCATGTGCGTGCATACATAGAAACTGCTTGTTTCTCTCCGTTTTCAAGCAGTCCTGCCTTCTGAGAACCCAAGGGGGGGTCAGTATTTACTTGATGCAGTCAAAGGGATGAGTGGTAGAGGGAGGTGTGTGGGGGGGATGAGTGTGTGAATGATTTTACTGGAGAGCAGGAGAGCGTGACAAGGAGCAGACAGGAGGTGGTTGTTGGAGTCAACACAGGAAAGAAGGGATGCCATGGACAGAGTGTGGAAGTAACATCATGTGCCACAGGGCAAAAAAAGAGGATAGAAAGGAAAGAAAATAAAGGGGATGTGGGATGCAGACTTGGCAATTCATTTTTTTTTAAATTTTGTTTCAGAAAAAGAGAATGCAGGAAGGGGGAAAGCTTTTAAGTTCTGGAGTGTAGATGTATGTATTTGCTGAACATGGCCATCCTTCCGTCACCAAGAAGGGTGCCTGTTACTGGAGCTGCACAGCCCCAGTGGCAGGAGATTCAAACTGAACCTGGTAGAGAGTGTGGAAGATCATCCTGCACTCCCCCTGCCACCATTGGGACCATACAGCAGGATCTCAGGGGCCGAGAGAAAATGACCTGTCCGAACAAAGTCTACCAAATTTTCCTCACCTCCCTCTGCCCCTCCGGCCCCATGGCACATCCACAGCCGTCCTGGTCCGCAGCCACCAAGGGGTGCTGCTGCCCAACCCCAGCAAGATTTGGGCTGAAGAGTCTGGTGGGAATTCTGCACTCCGCAGGATTTATGCAACCAAATACCGTTGTCTCTTTGCTGTGGAGAACAGGATTTATTAGGCTGAGTATTCTCTGCAGTGGGCAGTGCACATGGGCAAATAGACTGTCTTGCACAAAGAGGGCTCATTTTGGTCCCCTCTTTCTTGGATGGGTAGGTGGAGTGAACCTGTAGGGTGAGGGATAAGGTGTTTAACTCTTTCAGCTTGCTCTGAAAGGATGGGTTATCTGAAGTAAATCTCCAGGCTCTCTTACTTCCTCAGCTAGATCTCAGAGAAAGGAGAAGGATTCTCTCTGTTGTGGTGCAATATGTCAAGGGCACCCAGCATCCTTGCAAAACAAGGTCAAGAAAGTATTGCTAGCCACTAGTTCTCCTTTTCAACTTATGCTTATTTAGATTAAAAACCGGCAAACAGACAGTAATATCTCACCATAGATTGAGCCAGTTTACTCCTTCCAGGGGCTGACCAGTTCACGGAACAGTCCTAATTTCAGTGTGGTTTAAGTGAGATGGGCCTCAGGCTGAATCTGGGGCTGTGTCCCCAGAGAAGTTGTATTTTAGCCAGAAGTGGGCATGGTCTCCATCCTGGCAAGTGTATTGTCATGCTTTGTCTACCCTCTTTGTAGCTGGTTTTGCCCTCAGCCAGCTCTCTCGTTAGATACCATGGGTGTTAGATGGGGTGTGCAAGGTTTCTTTTCAGACACACAGTCTAGCTGTGCTCTGGGCCAGGCTTCCTGTCTAGATCATGCAGTCTGTCCATGAACAGAAACCTTTCTTTGTCCAGATAACACTTGCGGGCTGTGCAGTCCTGCTGCGTGTAGCACTTGATTTCTGAGCCAGGCCAGCTCTCCGTATCCCAGTGACAGCCAGAGTGATTAAAGCCACTTGCTGCTGCATTTGACAGAAGCGACTGACCTGTGAGTCAGCTCTGGCAAAAACTGAAGTACTCAGTGCTTTGAAGTGCCAATGCTCTGTGCCACGTGAGACCCACCATGCAAATTGTTTCTAAAAATGTTGGTTAGATATCCTCCTGAGGAGATATCAGCCTTGCCGAACAATGCTGTGCTACTACTGTTAGGAAATGGCACACAACACAGACCTTTGCTGAACACAAAAAGGGGTTGCGTGCTTGTGTGTAACGCACGTATTTATTCTCGTCCTCAAAGCTCCCACATTAACTTGGTTGGGAACTTAGCTTCTGACCCTTTAATCAGTGTATTTTATTAAAAAAAGGTAAAGTGACTATAGCGCTGTCTTGGTATTCAGCTAAAAGTCCTTTTACCTTTTTAACAGCCACAAGACAGGCAGCAGCCAGGCAAGCTTGCTCTGTGCAGAACCTATTAGGGAGCAGAAATATTGTTCAGTCAGAAAATCTTGCTGTTCAGTTGGAGTTTGGGCTGCATGATGAGGAAGCTGTTGCGAGGGCCAGCTATGACACCGCATTCTAGGACATGGAGAGATGGGCAGCAGGACTGGCCTGAGAAAAAACGTCATCAAAAACATGGTTGTATCCATACCTGGAATTGTGTCAGCACCATGTTTTGATTGTAAATTTTTGTTTGTTTATATTAAGCCTTGTTGTGTATTAACACTAGTAGCTGGTAGAGGAATCGTTGTGTAGAAGCAAGCTGTCAATGGCTGATGCTGATAATATTTGTCCCATCACTCTATAAATATAATGGGGTGCAGCCATGCCTCTTAATACCCTGGCTGAGTTTGTTCTTTGAAATCAGGTGGATCAGCAGTGAAAGAAGAGCTCTCTAAGGAAATTCAAGCGCTGCAAGAGATGGCACTAGCTGCCTGTATGCCACCTACCAGAACCAGGTGGCCTGGTGTGACTGACAGTCACCTGCCTGAGTGTGATCTCGTTACTACAAGCAGAGCCATTCAGGTAAAGCATCACAGGTGAAATGCTCCCTGTGAAGTACAGCATTTTCCAAACCTTACTCCACTTAGGGACAGGCTTTTGCCCAGGACCTGGGACTTAAGAAGCCTGGTTAATCTGAACCATGATGTTAGTAGTCAGGTGCAGGCTGACATTCAGGAACATGTGAAATGATTCGATCTTTCAATTAGTGTCTATCACCTACATTTTTATGCTGGCACCATGCAACACGTGCAGCCTCACACTCTATCCAACAGCGCTTAGCTAGAATCACTTGTAACTGTGTCCTTTCATTTAGTCGAAGG